GACTTCCCTGTGACTTTAATGCTTCTCAGGAAGCAGAGCAGAAAGCTCATGGCCTCACCTCTGTTGGGCCTCCAGAACTTCTCCATGCCGTGCCTCATCAGGACGATGCGGGACAGCTCCGTGAACGACTCGATCACGTTGAAGTTGCACAGGGGGCTCACCTCGAAGAAGGTCATGCCGTTCTTCTCGGCGTACGCCCTGGCCTGCTCCGTGGGGACCTGCCGCTTGAAGGCCAGGTGGAGGCGGTTCCCCACCAGGATCCGAGGGACTCCAGGAGCGTGCTGAGGAAGGAGACGCAGACGGGACGTTCAGAGCGGGTCGGTTATTAACCAACAGGCTGCAGGTCTCTGATTCAGACACTGAAAACCTGCAGGGAAACAGGATTTCCTTCCCGCTGCTGAGCTCAGACCGAACGGAGCGACGGCAGCAGAGAAGGAAAACATTTCCTATGAGGTTCTAAACCTTTTTCCTTCACGTCTGAACCGACAAACCTCCCTGTTCTCACCAGAACCGGTCCAGATCAACGTAAAGCTGGGCGATATGAAGGAAATCTAATATAAAGATACCATTATTAAACTACTTCATTATTTTTTTAAAAGTTTGTGACTCAATATTAGACCATGGAAAACACAGATTAACCTTCACAGCCTTAGAAGGACAACATTTATGTACAAAAAGTAAACCTGGACATGAAATGATGTTTGGTTTTATAAATTCTTTTATGTTTTTTGTTGTTGGCATTCATATAAATATACTGGTGTGATAACTTGGTGTAGTCCGTCCCACCCCCGCGGAGAAAACTCCACCAGCCGCCAGTGGTTTATGATGCGTTCAAAGTGTGTGGGAAAAATAAAACTCAGTGAAATAGATGGAGACGGTTTAATGTCGTCATGTGAATTTGGACTTGAAGGCTGCGATAGTCATTTTAACTATTGTTCGTGAGGAAACATCGAGTTTATTCGACGTCAATCAGCTCTAGATCAACATGGAGAGAAGTTCCTTCCAACATCGTTGCACAGAACATGATTTATACAAAGAAATTTGAAGAAAAAAAATGCAATCCAGTAATTAAAATAAAATGCTTCAGAAATTAGCTTTTCTTTCTCCGAATTTTTAAAAATGGCGTCCTGTTTGAACTTTGCTTCTGTTTGGTTTAATAAAAACTAAACTATAGATAAAAACCGGTTCAGATCCAGTCAGTCAGCTAAAGAGGAACCTTCAGGACTTCTATCCACCCACCGGTTCAGATAAATCTGCATTTTCACTGAACTACAGGATTTCCTGGGAGATGATCCTCAGATGATGACGTCCAAAATAAAAATGTCTCCACAAACCAGACAGATCTAAGGAGCAGCGCCGCCTTCAGGCCCATCAGCTAAGGTCCGTGGACAGAAAATATATATAGAAAAATAATAAAAAACAAAGGATCCAAATAGAAATAAAATCTAAAGGATTTATTTTAATCCTCCATCTAACCTGCTGACATCACCTCCTCCTGTTAAAGGTGTTAAAGAGGCGCCGCTTGAGCTGAGGTGGAGCAGGAAAAGCAGAAGTGGAGGACGCATTCCACAGCCCAAAAATACCACCAACACACACACACTCATCTTACTATATGTAGTGAGGACCATGCATTGATTTCCAGCTATTTTCAGCCTTCTTTAAGCTCCAACCACGACGATAACATTAAACCTAATCATTCCCGGGGCATACCTAACACATGGCTGTGTTTTACCATCTTTACGGGGACTTGCAATAACTTCTATGTTCCAAACGTAAACCTAAGACCATAGTCCTGAAGCTGCCCTCAGACCCAGGAGGAGGAGCTTTCCTCAGAAGTCCTCACAATGTAGGATATTCCTGTGAAACTGTCCTAACAATGCCCCCCCCCATATCCTCCATGTTTCCACGTCATCAGGAAGGACACAGAGCAGGACGGCTGCACCAGCAGCAGCTCCTGTTTGGGTCATTCAGGACGCGCACGCTGCAAGAAACATCTGGAAATAAGTAGAAAATGCTTCAATACATAAAATTATTTGCTAATAGAACGAGGATTTTTACTCTAGAAATAAGACAATGAGATTGTTTTTTCTTATTTTAAATGTAAATTGTCTCGTTCCATTGGCAAAGTGTCTCACTACCTCCTCGATTCAAGACTAAATTCAATTATTTTCAGGAAAAATGACTAATTTAGATGTTTTGGAGCAAAGCTCAGCCGTTTACAGCAC